AACTGAACACATGATGATATATATATATATATATATATATATATATATATATATATATATATATATATTATGCATGTATGTATATATGAATATAAATAAGTATATACGTATATGTATATGCATACAGTGTATATATGTATGTCGTGTGTGTGTATTTATGTATGTGTATCTGTGTGTATATATATCTATATGTATATAAGTATACATATATACGTATATATATTATATTATAGATATATATATAGAATGTAACATATATGTTTTATAAATTTGCATGTACAAATAGCTATATATATGCATGTATACTTATGAATACACACACATACATATATATATATATATATATATATATATATATATATATATATTATATATACATAAACATGTATACTTTGTATATATATATATATATATATATATATATATATATATATATATACATATAATATACATATATATAATTTATAATATAAAAATTATTATTGTACCTAATATATTTTTCTCCATTTTGCGTTTGAATGGTCTCGTTTTCCTGGTGTTCATTTGTTTCTTTGAGTGAGAGGTCAGAGTTAATCGAATTATGCTTGATACTTAAGGCCTTGCTCTCTTGCCAGAGCGCAGTCACCTGTCAGGCGTTCCTACTCAGCAGAGGGATCTGAGCTCAAAGTAGTCCCAGCAAGAAGTTCTTTGGCTCAGTCGAAACATCGTTCCAAATTAAAGGTAAGCATGAATTACGTTTGTATAATTACTGCATACACAATGAATATATATACACTTTCATATATATATATATATATATATATATATATATATATATATATATATATATATATATATATATATATATAAGTATATTTATATATATGTATATATATATATATATATATATATATATATATATATATATATATATATATATATATATATATATATATATATATATATATATATATTTGTGTATATATGTGTATGTATATGTATATGTACATATTTACGGATATATAAGTATATATATGTGTATGTTTGTGTGTGCGTGTGTATGTAAATCAATAAACCATACATATATAAATCTATGTGTATATACGCATATAGATTAATAGATAGAATGCATGCGTGAGCACGCTTTCCTTTCGATGCAGACAAACATTCATGTGATTGTATTTTAGACGATTAAATGATTGGCAACACTCTGACACATACACACATTAATGTATGTATAAATAAAATTTTACTGGCTTTCTATATTTACATACATTTTCATATCACAGATGTCGTCGTGGAACAATCCGAATCCGGTCACCGAACTGGAATCCACCAATCCATATGGAAACTACACGGTGGTTGACACTGCGCCCAAGGAGATTCTCCATATGGTGCATGAGCACTGGTACCAGTTCCCTCCCATGAATCCTCTTTGGTACGGCCTTGTTGGCTTCTGGATGGTTATCATGGGATGTCTCTCCATAGCTGGAAACTTCGTCGTCATCTGGGTCTTCATGAACACCAAATCTCTTCGATCGCCTGCTAATCTTCTGGTCGTCAATCTGCCTTTTCCGACTTCTTGATGATGCTCACCATGTTCCCTCCTATGGTGGTGTCGTGTTACTGGCAGACATGGACTCTTGGGGCACTTTTCTGTGAGATCTATGCATTCCTTGGTTCTCTTTTCGGTTGCGCTTCTATCTGGACCATGGTGTTCATCACTGCTGATCGATACAATGTCATTGTGAAAGGAGTTTCTGCTGAACCACTAAGGTCTGGAGGTGCAATGCTAAGGATTGCTGGTACATGGTTCTTCTCCTTTGCTTGGTGCCTTCCACCTTTCTTTGGCTGGAATCGTTATGTCCCCGAGGGTAACATGACTGCATGTGGAACAGACTATCTAACTGAGTCGGAGTTATCTAAGAGTTACTTGTATGTGTACTCAGTTTGGGTGTACATCTTCCCTCTCTTCTACATCATCTACAGCTATACTTTCATTGTCAAGGCTGTTGCTGCTCACGAGAAGGGAATGCGAGAACAGGCCAAGAAGATGGGAGTCAAGTCGTTGAGGAGTGAGGAAGCCCAAAAGACCTCTGCTGAGTGTCGTCTGTGCAAGGTTGCTCTGATGACTGTCACCTTTGGTTCATGGCCTGGACCCCCTACTTCGTCATCAACTGGGGAGGCATGTTCAACAAGCCCATGGTTACTCCTCTATTCTCCATCTGGGGCTCCGTCTTCGCCAAGGCCAACGCCGTCTACAACCCCATCGTGTACGCCATCAGCCACCCCAAGTACCGAGCTGCCCTTGAGAAGAAGCTGCCTTGCCTTGCCTGCAACACTGAGGGTAGAGACGGTGGTGGCTCTGATGCCGGTTCTACTGCTACTGCTGAAAATAATGAAAAGGCGGAATCTGCATAATTGCAGATGAACAACGAGAACGATGGTTTGAAGAGGACGGAAACATTTTAACGTATCCCTTTTATTTGCTAAAGTAACTGCAAATATATCCCAGCATTGATTTATGTTTTACTTTCCACCTATAAGAACTTTGACTATCAGAAAACTTAAACCAAAACCACGAATATTCTGTAATGAAATGTTCGAAAATTCCTTGAATGGTCTTCAAGATGAACCAGTAACACATTAAAAAAGAAGAGAGAGAGAGAAAAAAATCAGTATTTACTTTTCAAATTATTATTTTAACTCTTCTATTTCATAACTACCATACATTATATATATATATATATATATATATATATATATATATATATATATATATATATATATATATATATATATATAATTCAAACACTTCTAATCATAAACACATCTTTCGATTTATAGGTCATCTATTTAATTGAAATGTCCTGTAGTCTCGTACCCTTGCAGAAAATGCCACTCAAGTTCTTATCCGAAAGTCTTGACTGTCCTATTTTGCAGAGTTGTCTGTGGTCCTACCGAGGGCACGTCATTTCCTTCTAGGCTGCTAGAATATAAGTTACAAGATTTCAGCATCTGAAGGACAATAGTGTCGATTTTGAATAAATTCTAAAAATGTGACCCTTGCTCTATACAATAAAAATCCTACATTTTTCATAAATGGCAATATAGTAAATTGTTAAAAATGTTATATTAGACATTTAATCTGCCCTTTGCGTCAATATCATACGTTTCTTTCTACTTAAAACTAGTAGCCTTTTAACAATAGACTTAATGCCAATCTTCACTACAGCAGCCTTTAATATTTGTAGCTGGATCGTGTGTGTTGAAGCTGTGAAACTATTATTGACTAATGGCTGAAAGGCGGATTAATATCGGAATCCAAACTAAACTGGAACACATGTCTAGTGCAATACCTTAGGAAAAAATCAAATAACTTTTTAAAATTAAATGAAAATAATTGTCATAGCAATGCTATAAATTTTGAAGAAAATTATGTGTATATATGACAATCAGAGAGTAATTAAAAAGTCACAATGAAACGAAAAAGCGCACGGCCTGATATATATATATATATATATATATATATATATATATATATATATATATATATATATATATATATATATATATATATGCATATATATATATGTATATACATATGCATATGCATATATATATATATATATATATATATATATATATATATATATATATATATATATCATACATTTATGTGTGTATTTAATGTATGTGTGTATGGGGGTTTGTGTGTATATATAGACATATACATATATACGTTTCTATTTATTTACCTATATATAAATTTAGTTATATAGTTATAGATATTTATGCATTAGTAAAATATAAAACATATTTATATTAATTTACATATGCAAATATTTGTATATTTATTAATTTGTACGAAAATATATATATATATATATATATATATATATATATATATATATATATATATATATATAATATATGTATGCATATGTATACTTTGTATATATGAACACTTTATGGATATGCATATGTATGTGCGTGCACACGCACACACCCACACATATATGTATATATTTATATAAAGAAAAAAAATATATTGCATTTTTATATGTATTTTTTTTTTTTTTTTTATTCCTCCTATTATTAGTCATTGAATCACGCCTCGTGTTCCTGGTGTTCATTTGTTTCTTTAAACGTGACGGTGAGGCGTTAATCGAATTATGCTTGAATACTTAAGGCCTTGCTCTCTTGCCAGAGCGCAGTCACCTGTCAGGCGTTCCTACTCAGCAGAGGGATCTGAGCTCAAAGTAGTCCCAGCAAGAAGTTCTTTGGCTCAGTCGAAACATCGTTCCAAATTAAAGGTAAGCATGAGTTACGTTTGTATAATTATTGTACACACAAGGAATATATATACACTTTATATATATATATATATATATATATATATATTATATATATATATATATATATATATATATATATATGTATGTATATAAATATATATATGTATATATATATATATATATATATATATATATATATATATATATATATATATATATATATATATATATATAGTAAATATGTGTATATATATATGTATATGTACATATTTGTGTATATATAAGTGTATGTGTGTGTGCATGTTTGTGTTATATATATGCGTGTTTAAAACAAACAAACAACCATACATATATAAATATATATATACACATACATATTAATAGACTTAATGCATCCGTGAAAACGCATTCCTTCACGTGATTGTATTTGGGAGGATTAAATGATTGGCAACACTGACATAGACACATTAATGTATGCATAAACAAATTTTACTGGCTTTCTATATTTATAAATATTTTCATATCACAGATGTCGTCGTGGAACAATCCGAATCCGGTCACCGAACTGGAATCCACCAATCCATATGGAAACTACACGGTGGTTGACACTGCGCCCAAGGAGATTCTCCATATGGTGCATGAGCACTGGTACCAGTTCCCTCCCATGAATCCTCTTTGGTACGGCCTTGTTGGCTTCTGGATGGTTATCATGGGATGTCTCTCCATAGCTGGAAACTTCGTCGTCATCTGGGTCTTCATGAACACCAAATCTCTTCGATCGCCTGCTAATCTTCTGGTCGTCAATCTGGCCTTTTCCGACTTCTTGATGATGCTCACCATGTTCCCTCCTATGGTGGTGTCGTGTTACTGGCAGACATGGACTCTTGGGGCACTTTTCTGTGAGATCTATGCATTCCTTGGTTCTCTTTTCGGTTGCGCTTCTATCTGGACCATGGTGTTCATCACTGCTGATCGATACAATGTCATTGTGAAAGGAGTTTCTGCTGAACCACTGACGTCTGGAGGTGCAATGCTAAGGATTGCTGGTACATGGTTCTTCTCCCTTGCTTGGTGCCTTCCACCATTCTTTGGCTGGAACCGTTATGTTCCCGAGGGTAACATGACTGCATGTGGAACAGACTACCTACTGAGACGGAGTTATCTAAGAGTTACTTGTATGTGTACTCAGTTTGGGTGTACATCTTCCCTCTCTTCTACATCATCTACAGCTATACTTTCATTGTCAAGGCTGTTGCTGCTCACGAGAAGGGAATGCGAGAACAGGCCAAGAAGATGGGAGTCAAGTCGTTGAGGAGTGAGGAAGCCCAAAAGACCTCTGCTGAGTGTCGTCTGTGCAAGGTTGCTCTGATGACTGTCACCCTTTGGTTCATGGCCTGGACCCCCTACTTCGTCATCAACTGGGGAGGCATGTTCAACAAGCCCATGGTTACTCCTCTATTCTCCATCTGGGGCTCCGTCTTCGCCAAGGCCAACGCCGTCTACAACCCCATCGTGTACGCCATCAGCCACCCCAAGTACCGAGCTGCCCTTGAGAAGAAGCTTCCTTGCCTTGCCTGCAACACTGAGGGTAGAGACGGTGGTGGCTCAGATGCCGGTTCTACTGCTACTGCTGCTGAAAACACTGAAAAGGCCGAATCCGCATAATTGCAGATGAACTGCGAGAACGATCATTTGGATATTATATTATCTTTGTGAAACCCTTTTATTTGCTAAAACTGCAAATATATCCCAGCATTGATTTATGTCTTACTTTCCATAAAAGATAACTTGAATCAGCAGAAATGAAAAGATAATGAACGTTCCAGAATTTTCCATGATTAGGCTTTCATGATGAATGAACGTCAGATAGAATGAATGAAGGTCAGATATGAAATAATCGAAAGTGGTACAGTTGATTTTTTTTTTTTTTTTTTTTTTACCAAACTTTACATTACATATCTATTTCAAAGAACCTTCACATTAACAAAATGCATGTCATATGTAAATTCATCTCTTCATTTTTCTGAGCAATCAGCTGGTACCCTCGCAATAAACTGCATTCCAGATTACCATGGCTGCTAGAAGCTTGACTTTTCTATCTCTGCAGTCTAGATGGTCTGTAGTCCAACTGAAATGTCACCTCATTTCCGTCTAAACCTCTAGGAAGTATGGAAAGTAGGACGCGTCGACTTCTTCGGGAATTTCTGAAAATAATGACTCTTGATATATGTGTATTGAATATATATATATATATATATATATATATATATATATATATATATATATATATATAATATAGCCATAATATTCTATTATACATGAATAAAACTTGCAATCAATACTTTAATGTAAAGCCTCAGATCCAAGTGACGAACCTTTACAGCAATATGAGACGATTTTTCTGCATCCATGCTCTCAGCCAGTTATTGCTAGTGTTGGTCGTAATCTTTCCCAGAGCGTCCTTCCATCGTTGTAAGAAATCCCTCTGTTTCCTCGGAACAACAAAAGCTTGATCTTGACAGATCAGGTCGCAAAACTATTACAGGCTGTGGCTGTTCACGAGAAGGGAATGCGAGAAGAGGCCCAGATGGGAGTCAAGTCGTTGAGGAGTGAGGAAGCCCAGAAGACCTCTGCTGAGTGCCGTCTGTGCAAGGTTGCTCTCATGACCGTCCCCCTGTGGTTCATGGCCTGGACCCCCTACTTCATCATCAACTGGGGAGGCATGTTCAACAAGCCCATGGTTACTCCTCTGTTCTCCATCTGGGGTTCCGTCTTCGCCAAGGCCAACGCCGTCTACAACCCCATCGTGTACGCCATCAGCCACCCCAAGTACCGAGCTGCCCTTGAGAAGAAGCTGCCTTGCTTTGCATGCAACACTGAAGGTAGAGAGGGCAGTGGCTCTGCTTCTGGTTCTGCTGCTACTACTGCTAAAAATAATGAAAAAAAGCAGAATCCGCATAATTGCTGATGAATTGCGAGAAGGATGGTTTGGAAAGGACGAAATCATTTTAGTGTATCCCATTTATTTGTTAAAATAATTGCAAATACATCCCAGAATTGAGTCATGTCTTACTTTCGATTAAAGAGGATCTGAATCATCACGGTAGATAAAATACTGCAGAGTACCAATTTTTCTGGAACTTATATTGAATATTCCTTACGTGAACTTCCATGATAAACTGTCACACATCACAAAGGTTAAAGCAAACAACAAAAATGGTTT